TTGGTTACTTTGATTGTGAGCGGTTTCTTGACTCATTCTACAATAACAGAAATTCCTTCGTTAGGATTCTTTGACTCGAAGAGACGAGTTGACAACAGATATTTATTCTATCAAACTACATTGATGTTTAAGTCACTAATCGTGTCATAGCAATGCGTCACCTCATTCAACAAGATTGAGCTATCCTTAGCTTCTAACAAGTAGGTTCCTTTGAATTTGACCAAACAAATCGTCAATTCAAAGTAAAGGATAGCGATTCTTGATCGTCAGTTTGTAGAGATATGATAGTATCTTTGACCGTAAGTCAATCTTAGAGAACACAATGGATTCTCTAAGCTGATCAAATAAGTCATAGATACGAGATAAGGATAAAGTCAATATCCTTGTATGATATTTCAACAAAGTTTCACAAGGAATTTGTTGTTGAACGATTTTGATTTGTATGATATAATCGCATATTTGCATCGTAAGGAGTTAGACATCAGAATGGGATATTTTCAGACAACAGAGTTTATTGATTTTAAACGTTCGTGTTTGAATCAGCGATCCGATTGTCTTCAGTCCACATGAGGATCTTTGACAGCAGCTTCACTTATACTCATCATAAATCGTTTCTTCATAGTCATCTCACTTCTATGTGGTTTTACGAGGCAGATTAGTTTTGTCATTCGCGATGCGATAAGTACGTTGATAACATATCAGGGAGTCATAATTTTTTTATTCTTTCGTCTCTTCACCGAGTATGAAAAATCTACTTGAGTCTATGCTCGATATAATTTCAGTACTAAAAACTGTTCTCTAATGAGAATTCTAACGGAGTAAATATTTTCCAAGTAATTTCTCATACCCTTCCTGGAGCAGAGGGATGCGAGAGTCGTAGATGTGACTGACACATTTTTTTTCATAATAAATTATTCAGAATAATAACAGAGTAGTTAATGTTGCGGAAGCTGAATAAATAACAATTACAAAACATAATAATATTATGTCTTTTTAAACTTTAATTCATTTTACACATCCACTTTGACCATCTCGCTCTGTCTGACGCCAGGATTCCATCACATCATTCTTTTTGTTTACCTGCGTGTAGCAAATAAAACATACTACACGCTCAGCGTTGAAGCTGAGTAAGCATATCTAATGCATCGAACATCCATATAAATTGAATCTCAATTCATAATTAACCATTTGATATCATGCACACAATACATATTTCAAACTTACATTATTCATGATATTCACAATATTTCATTTTAAGTCATTTCATGATATATTCAATATTCAAAATATTTCATCAGTGCTCTTAAATTATTCTTAATCTAAGGCCAAATCATTTTTATACAAGCTCTTAGCTATTCCTAGTATAAGGCAATATTTCTATCCAGACCCTTAAACTATAAATAGTTTAATGCAGAACAAAAGAATCGATAATCCACCCTATGAGTCACGTGGATTACGTACCAACCGAACAGTGATCTGTCGGGTGGGTGATATCCGGTCTGGATCCCGTACGTACGTTTTAACCCCGAATTATAAATTGGTCAAGGAGGTATATCTTAGAGTTCTTCTAGATATCCTTAATAATCATCATCAATTTTCCAAGTGGGTATATCTTAGAGTTCTTCTAGATATCCTTAACAATACACATCATTTTCATAATCATCAATTTATTCATTTTTAATCATGATTTAATCATTCATAATTATTATTTTAATAAGAATATTCATCAAAGTCTAATCATAAACAACATCAATAATAATTTTAACAATATCCAATAACAAATAGCGGCCTAGCATCGAGTGTTAACACCTTAGCTTACCGTCATACATCACATAAAATTTTATTTGTCAAAACATCATTTTTATTTTATCACATAAAATTTTATTTGTCAAAACATCATTTTTATTTTTAACAATTATTTTTATATTGATCAAAATTGATTGGTATAAAAAAATAGGCTTTTATAGCTTCAAAATAGCATTTTTGGACTGAAAAAATGTTCGTAACGGTCGACCGTTAGGTTTGAACGGTCGTCCGTTCCGTCGGAAAATGCAGGAAGATGAAGGGGTTACTATTCATCATCTTCAACCTCTAACCCATTTTTCTCATGTTCCATTTTTGGTCACCAAACTTCAATTAAACTATATAGAAATGTTCTCCAAGGTTCGTAGATCATTTTAGAGGCATCAATTCGAAGTTTTAACAACAAATTCAAGGTTTAAGATTCTTGGTTCTTCACATATGTCAAACACAAAACTCAACCAAATGACCATTTATGAACGTACAAACGATCTATACGAACATTCTAGTGACTAGATATATCTACGGGCTTACCTTGAAGTTTATCGAAGGTTTCGAGATTTTTCCGGCGAAACTTCCAGCGATGATTACTCCCAACTCTGGCGACCTCTCACCAAAATAATGGCACCACTGTACTCCTCTCTCAACAAGGAACAGAATAGGATGAAGAATTGTGGAGAATGGTGAAGAAATGAGGGAATTGAAGTGTGCTTATATAGTGGTGGTGGTGAGGAAGAAGCCAGGATGTCTCCTTCACAATCTGTGCGATCGGCGTAGTGCGCAGGACGGCGATCCTAATTGATCTACACGCCGTTCCCTGATTGGGACCAATTTTGGTTCCAGTCGGGGTACACTTTTTGGTCCAACTTTCTCCGAATTGAATTCCGGTTGCACCGTTGCGATCGGATAGTTAGACTCTATCTAACGAAATAATTTTTACATTTATTTGTAATACTTTTTCCGACATCATATTTTGGGTGTTTGACTTTGACATAGTCAAAATTGATTTGTTGACTTTTATTCAGAAAAGTTCTCTCATTTAATTCATATTACTTATTCTCATGATTTATTTTAAAGTTCACTTCATAAATAATTTATTCATTTATTCTTGTTTTTGGGTCTGTACACAGGTTCCCAATCAAGACCACACAAATAGTCAACATATTGGATTTATCTCTATGAAATTTATCCAGATTGTGATAATGGATATTAAAACACATTCTGTATCGGCTTAAAGCCCAACAACAATTTATTTTAATCAAAACAAATTTGATTAATCGAATGTTTATTTATTAATAATTCTAGGGTATGTTTTGGGGCGTTACAGGATCGATCCAGCCAGAATGTGATTCACCCCATATGCAACCTTGCTATCAACCGTCTGCAAGAAACATCGGCACATCTACGCGTCGCTGGCATCAACGACGATCATCACCTGCACATAGCTATTTATGTGTTCCTGGGGATCCCATTCCCCATCATAACGCTTGACAAACGGCACTTTGAATCCTTGAGGATACGGCTCTGCAAAGATCTCAGGGGCGAGCGGAGTATTCGTCCGAGTAGTGAACACTCGTCCCCTGTTTATTTTCCTCTGCATCTCCTGGATCTGTTGTCTCAAATCCTGGAACTCGCCAGCTTCCAGCACTTGTGGCCCCAGACGCTGCGCCGCTAGGACCCTAGCATGACTTTGAACCCCCTCCTCGTCCAAGACCACCAATGGCCGCATTGGCGCTTGGCTCCCACCCCGGCCGGTTTGCTGCCGAGGTTCACGGTTAGAGGATGCCACTTGGCTGGTCTGGGGTCGTACCCAGCCCTGGGGTGCCTTGTCCGGATTCTTCCCCAGCCTCTCACTAACGTGAGCCCTCTGGTGAGATATCCTTTCAAAAACTGTTCCCCGCGGGTCTCCGTTTCTGTTGCCTAAGATTTGACTCACGGCCCTGGTTCGATCCCCATTCGCCCTATTATTTCGGGCCAACTCTTCCGCCCGGCGCCTAGAGATAGCCTGTCGCTCCCTCTCGACCTCCTCCGGATCGTGAAGCTCCTTGAGGATGGGAGAACTAGCAGTACGCAGGACCTGGCGGGGCTGCCCGGCAGGGACATTCTGGGTACCAGGCAGAGCCCGATCCAAGCGTTCCATAATGTTGGCCATCATGTTAGCCACATTATTCAACGCCGTTTCCAGCCCATTGACTGGAACAACCATGCCTTGTTCAGGCTGGTCGCTCCTCACCGTTGACTGGGCGGAAGCGGCGGTGTTACGTCTAGTCCTTCGTCCAGCCATAATCTCACAATTTCGTCTCACAGTATCTCTCAATGGAAGCACCAATGATGGGATTAACCCGATCAGATGGCGGACCAAGAACGGAATAAGAATTAGGAAAATATAATCTCACAATAATATTCTTAATTAGGTGTGTAATCAATTGTTTCCCCCCCCCCCCCCTTTTAATGGCGGGTTCTTCCCCCTTTTATAGTACTTATAGTTTCTAAGTTAAGGTTAAACATTATGGAAGGTTTATGGAGATCATGGGGTCATGATTCCCTTCTTTTCTGGTCTTGATTTCTTTCCATTTCCCCACGATTTGGAATGTGGGCCACGTGTCCTGTTCTTTTCTCGGACTGGATCGTCTTAGTTCAACCCATGATTGGGCCGTCCGCCTCGTTACCCATATGCGCCTCGATGGGCCTGATCCGTTACGCGCACCTGGACTCGTTTACCTTGCACGATTGTGGGCCTTTATCGGGCCTAGAGTCGGGCTCATCAGACCTGATATCCATCAATTTTTATCTTGATTAATTATATTATATACGTTAATTAGAGTATCATATGCTAATAGATAAATAAAAATAATACATTTTAAATTTAAATCATAAGTTGTCTAAAACATATAAACCATAACTTTCCTAGTCATTAAATCAAATTATAAAATTAATAAATTCAAACAGTCAAATTATGCGTAGTATTTTTCTACTTTAGAACTATTATAATCTAATCATCTCTTGTTTTTTAATTTTTTTATGTAGTTTTAAAAATACATTGTTTGTTTTTAAATTTATATAAATATTGAAATAAATAGATTAAAAACTAACTTTATTTTAACATATCTTAAGCAAATACTCGTACAAAATTATTTTAGAGGTGAATATATTAATATATTTATTAATTTAAAGTTTTGTTATAAATGAAGAAATAAAAAATATTGAATCATGAAGGAATATTATTTAAAAACGAAGATATCTATTTTATAATTAAATCTATTCAAATGTTTTATTCTAAAATGTTTATTTCATATTTTTTAGATCATAAATCGTCTAAACAGTAAAACGTATAAATTACTATAACGTTTCTAGTCATTAATTCAAATCATAAAATTAATATATTTAAACTACCAAATTATGTATAGTACTTTTTTACTTTAAGACTATTGTGACCTAATCATTTCTTGCTTTTTGAATTTTTTAATGTAGTTTATTATTTGAAATATTTTTAGAGGTGAAAGGAGTAATGGGTTTATTAATTGAAAGCTTTGCTATATATAAAGAGAGAAAAAGATTGAATCAGGAAAGAATATAATTATAAAAAAATCAAAAAAATTATATAAGATTTAAAGAGCCACATAGATATCTCCACATTTCAAGTTTTTAAATAGCCACATAAACTTATTATATAAGCCACATAATAAATACACATATCAACTTTTTAAAGATAGGAGTCTCATTTATTATATAAAAAATTTATTAAAATTTTAGTAATTTTACTTTTAACAAAACTTAAAGAAAAACTTTAATTTAATCCAATGTCTAGTATTACTTAACTTCTAATTTGTTAGAAAAAGTGACCAATGCTAGAGGGGGGATGAATAGCGTTTGATCATAGAAATCACAAGAATAAAAAATTAAGAACGTGAAAAGTAAAGAGCGTAGAAAGCGTAAAGGGAGCACAACAAGATTTATACTGGTTCACCACAACGTGTGGCTAATCCAGTCTCCCGAGAGACTCTCTCGAGCTACACTACTTCCGTTAAGCTTACGGGTGCTTAACAAACCGTTACATCATGAGAACTCGAGTCCCACGAGCCTCAACAACACTTGCTCGGAGATACCGCACTCCAAGACTTCAACCCGAAGGAAAATACCTTTCCTTCGTACAACCAAGGGAAACAGACTTCCCTTAACGTGTATACAACACTAAGACACTCAAGAACAAGACTCTCCTTAAGAGTGGATATTGAGTAAAATATATACGCTAAAGAACAACTCAAACTTCACACAAATTGGCTCTTGAAAGCTATGGAAAATAATGTTGTTTGGATGCAATGATAATATGAATATTGTGAAGTGAATTGATGAGAAAAGCAGACCCAAACACCCCTTTTTATAGTGCAAAAATAGGCTCCAACGGACCAATACATTAAAGGGGTGATTGGCTTGATTTATGGGATTGAATAAATTTGGGATCTGCAGGATATTGGCTTCCCATCGATGTTTGGAACTTACCCATCACTGGTAAGCCAATTTTCCTTCAGTTTTGAAGCTAACGGTCACCTACCCATCGATGGGTACAAGCTTCCCATCGCTGGGTGGGAAGTTGACTTCCAAACAAGGAAAGAATCAACCTTAAATGACTTCCAACGGTCATGCCTTCCCATCGATGGTTTACCTTTACCATCGCTGGGTTCCCATCGATGGGATAAGTTCCCCATCGCTAGGTAAGGTCGTTCTGCCTTGTGTTGATGTGGAACCAAGGCTTTAACAGCGATGGGTAGAACTTCCCATCGCTGTTTGGCATGGTTCTGGAAGTTGGTTTGGCTAAGGTACCACTTACCCATCGATGGGAAGTTCTTCCCATTGCTGGGTGGGTGGTTAGCCAAAAACCGATGGTTTTTGCCTTAACCACGGCCTAGCCAACCGATGCAAAAACCGACCGAAAAAATCCAAATTTCTACAAATTAAAAACCAAGTGCTTAAAATACTTATTTAATGTATTTGGCTAAGAAATCAAGTGACACACTTTAAAAACCACGTCATTTGAGTAAAAACCACGGCTAGCCAAGTTTATGTCGTTTTGCGTGGTTTTTGCCAAACGACCAAAAACGAAAGGTGGTTTTCAAAGTGTTTTTGTTGGAGAACTGTTTAAACATTCCAAGAAGTAAAAACCAATCATAAAATGTTGAAAAACACTTGGTTGGTTTGGACGCCAAAAACCAACTCCGATAACCGAAAGCCGAACGCCGGTCTCTGAAAGCCGAACGCTGGATGGCTTGGTTTTTGGTTTGGGCGAACACCAAGTGTTTTTGATGATTTAACCATGTTTGAAAAACATTTTTATGATGTGATGAATGCAATAAAAGATTTTAGCCTAAAGAGCCATGCGTGAAGGTTGGGTCGGTCTTGATCACAATTATGACCGACTCAACGATACTAAAGACTACGGTCTTCGTTCTTGGTCTCTTTTAGCTCTTGTTCTTTATCTCCGTTCTTTGCCTTGTATATTCAATGTTTGTCTTGATCACGGCGGTTTGGCATTATCAAAACTTGTCATAAAAACAAACACGGCTTTAGTACGAAAACATGACAAGCCCGTGTTTCAACAATTTCCCCCTTTTTGATAATGGCAAACAAGGCGAGGTTATGCATAGGAGGATTATTTTGAGACTTAAAAAATGTTCCCCCTTAATAAATGCATAATCTTTATATCTTCCCCCTTTTGACATTAGCAAAAAGCACTTTAAAAAATTGTAAAAAAAAGAACTCCTTGAACATTGATGTTTGATACTGAACATCAATGTTTGAAAATGTCCTGGAGCATCAATTGTCAACAATGTCGTAAAACGAGCTTCCCCCTTGATGCGGTTCATTGGGTTCCGTGCTTGGAGCATCCACTACAAGTTTGTAGTCTTCAAGCACACCCTTTTGTGTATCTAGTAATACCATTGAGGTACCCAATAGCTTTTGGGTCCTTGGAGGTTAGGCAAATAAAAATCATAATCATAATTATAAGAAGTGTCCCTATGTTTAGCAAAACAAACAGGAGCTATGTGTCCTATCTTAGAGCAATAATGGCATACTACGTTTGGATTATGCATATGCCTAGGTTGAGCCAAAAACTTTCTAGGTGATCTAAAATCATTATTCCTAGAATTATTAAATAAATTCCTAGACTCATTTCTAGGTTGTCTCAAAATATTTCTACCATTTGTAAAAATCCTAGAGTCAATTATAGGTTGTCTCACCTTGTTACTTTTATTTTTTCTAAAATTAATTTTGATATACCTAGGATTATTCGTTCTTCTAGGTGGTTTATCATTCTTTACTTCTTGACAAAGTTTCTTAGGCTCTTCTACCTTAATTTTTTCAATGGTGCTCTTAAGTTCTACATTCTCTACTTTTAAAGACTCACAAGAGGAACAAGTAGAACTTTGGTCAAAGAAAGAATCTTCATTCATTGCCTTAATTTTATTTTTGAGGTCAAAATTATTATTTTCCAAAAATTTATTTTCCTCTTCCAAAGCATGAATTTTTGCCTTAGCCTCTTTGGCAATTTTTGAAGTTTTCTTCAATTCACCAAATAATTCTTGAAAGGCTTCTTGTAATTCTTCAAATGAGAAAGAGTTAGAAGTACTTACCTCTCCATTTCTTTCATGAGCCATAAGACATAAGGTGGCGGTTTCGTCACCAGAACTTTCCGAATCCCATGCCATGTATGCTCGTTCCTTCTTCTTCTTTTCCTTGCGGTTTGGGCAATATGGCTTTATGTGGCCAAGTTCTCCACAACCAAAGCACGTTGGAACGGGTTCCCCCTTTCTTTTACAATCTCGGGACCCAAGTTCTTCCTTCAAAAACTCTTGGAACTTCTCGAGCAAGTTATAAGAAGGATTATGGTCATCGCTATCGGAGTCACTTACCTCCACCCTTTTTGAGGATGAGGCTTTGAGAGCGAGACCGGGACTCTTGTCAAGAGAAGGTTTAAGAATAGTGGATTCATAAGTTTTAAGATTACCTCGAAGACCATCGATGGTGACATTGGTGTTACCAATCGACTCATATATGGCATCGGCTTTTGAACGCCATTCCGGTGTTAGGCTTCGAAGGATTTTTCGAACAAGATCTTTGTTCGAGTATGTTATACCAAGGACATGGAGATCGTTGATGATCTTTAAAAATCGGTCAAACATTTGATCAACGCTTTCAATTTCCTTCATTTTAAACAACTCATATTCATGGGTTAGAAAATCAATTTTAGCTTCACGGACTTGAGGCGTACCGTCGTATGTCACTTCAAGCTTATCCCACATTTCTTTTGCAGTGGAGCAAGAAGAAATTTTCCGGCAGTCATCCGGGTTAATTGCAAAAAAAATCATGTGTTTAGCTTTTTCAAAAGCTTCTACCTTCTTGATGTCTTCAGCATCATATTCTTCCTCCTTTTTTGGGATGGTGATTTCACCAACCTTTTTCATTGGCATATTCTCACCATT